CTTCGTGCAGTCTCGTCCCCTCACAGGCCATTTCCTGCTCTGCCTTTTACTGGCATTCGCGTTTTCTTCATTATTCTCTTTTCCCTGCACTGACCTAGTCTTGTCCTGTTCAATGTACATCACAGAAAAAAGGAGGTATGAATAAATTGCAGTCTGTAAAGGTGTGTGTGTGTGTGTGTGTGTGTGTGTGTGTGTGTGTGTGTGTGTGTGTGTGTGTGTGTGTGTGTGTGTGTGTGTGTGTGTGTGTGTGTGTGTGTGTGTGTGTGTGTGTGTGTGTGTGTGTGTGTGTGTGTGTGTGTGTGTGTGTGTGTGTGTGTGTGTGTGTGTGTGTGTGTGTGTGTGTGTGTGTGTGTGTGTGTGTGTGTGTGTGTGTGTGTGTGTGTGTGTGTGTGTGTGTGTGTGTGTGTGTGTGTGTGTGTGTGTGTGTGTGTGTGTGTGTGTGTGTGTGTGTGTGTGTGTGTGTGTGTGTGTGTGTGTGTGTGTGTGTGTGTGTGTGTGTGTGTGTGTGTGTGTGTGTGTGTGTGTGTGTGTGTGTGTGTGTGTGTGTGTGTGTGTGTGTGTGTGTGTGTGTGTGTGTGTGTGTGTGTGTGTGTGTGTGTGTGTGTGTGTGTGTGTGTGTGTGTGTGTGTGTGTGTGTGTGTGTGTGTGTGTGTGTGTGTGTGTGTGTGTGTGTGTGTGTGTGTGTGTGTGTGTGTGTGTGTGTGTGTGTGTGTGTGTGTGTGTGTGTGTGTGTGTGTGTGTGTGTGTGTGTGTGTGTGTGTGTGTGTGTGTGTGTGTGTGTGTGTGTGTGTGTGTGTGTGTGTGTGTGTGTGTGTGTGTGTGTGTGTGTGTGTGTGTGTGTGTGTGTGTGTGTGTGTGTGTGTGTGTGTGTGTGTGTGTGTGTGTGTGTGTGTGTGTGTGTGTGTGTGTGTGTGTGTGTGTGTGTGTGTGTGTGTGTGTGTGTGTGTGTGTGTGTGTGTGTGTGTGTGTGTGTGTGTGTGTGTGTGTGTGTGTGTGTGTGTGTGTGTGTGTGTGTGTGTGTGTGTGTGTGTGTGTGTGTGTGTGTGTGTGTGTGTGTGTGTGTGTGTGTGTGTGTGTGTGTGTGTGTGTGTGTGTGTGTGTGTGTGTGTGTGTGTGTGTGTGTGTGTGTGTGTGTGTGTGTGTGTGTGTGTGTGTGTGTGTGTGTGTGTGTGTGTGTGTGTGTGTGTGTGTGTGTGTGTGTGTGTGTGTGTGTGTGTGTGTGTGTGTGTGTGTGTGTGTGTGTGTGTGTGTGTGTGTGTGTGTGTGTGTGTGTGTGTGTGTGTGTGTGTGTGTGTGTGTGTGTGTGTGTGTGTGTGTGTGTGTGTGTGTGTGTGTGTGTGTGTGTGTGTGTGTGTGTGTGTGTGTGTGTGTGTGTGTGTGTGTGTGTGTGTGTGTGTGTGTGTGTGTGTGTGTGTGTGTGTGTGTGTGTGTGTGTGTGTGTGTGTGTGTGTGTGTGTGTGTGTGTGTGTGTGTGTGTGTGTGTGTGTGTGTGTGTGTGTGTGTGTGTGTGTGTGTGTGTGTGTGTGTGTGTGTGTGTGTGTGTGTGTGTGTGTGTGTGTGTGTGTGTGTGTGTGTGTGTGTGTGTGTGTGTGTGTGTGTGTGTGTGTGTGTGTGTGTGTGTGTGTGTGTGTGTGTGTGTGTGTGTGTGTGTGTGTGTGTGTGTGTGTGTGTGTGTGTGTGTGTGTGTGTGTGTGTGTGTGTGTGTGTGTGTGTGTGTGTGTGTGTGTGTGTGTGTGTGTGTGTGTGTGTGTGTGTGTGTGTGTGTGTGTGTGTGTGTGTGTGTGTGTGTGTGTGTGTGTGTGTGTGTGTGTGTGTGTGTGTGTGTGTGTGTGTGTGTGTGTGTGTGTGTGTGTGTGTGTGTGTGTGTGTGTGTGTGTGTGTGTGTGTGTGTGTGTGTGTGTGTGTGTGTGTGTGTGTGTGTGTGTGTGTGTGTGTGTGTGTGTGTGTGTGTGTGTGTGTGTGTGTGTGTGTGTGTGTGTGTGTGTGTGTGTGTGTGTGTGTGTGTGTGTGTGTGTGTGTGTGTGTGTGTGTGTGTGTGTGTGTGTGTGTGTGTGTGTGTGTGTGTGTGTGTGTGTGTGTGTGTGTGTGTGTGTGTGTGTGTGTGTGTGTGTGTGTGTGTGTGTGTGTGTGTGTGTGTGTGTGTGTGTGTGTGTGTGTGTGTGTGTGTGTGTGTGTGTGTGTGTGTGTGTGTGTGTGTGTGTGTGTGTGTGTGTGTGTGTGTGTGTGTGTGTGTGTGTGTGTGTGTGTGTGTGTGTGTGTGTGTGTGTGTGTGTGTGTGTGTGTGTGTGTGTGTGTGTGTGTGTGTGTGTGTGTGTGTGTGTGTGTGTGTGTGTGTGTGTGTGTGTGTGTGTGTGTGTGTGTGTGTGTGTGTGTGTGTGTGTGTGTGTGTGTGTGTGTGTGTGTGTGTGTGTGTGTGTGTGTGTGTGTGTGTGTGTGTGTGTGTGTGTGTGTGTGTGTGTGTGTGTGTGTGTGTGTGTGTGTGTGTGTGTGTGTGTGTGTG